AGAGCCCTCTTGCCCATTCCTGAGTTGGCAACCAATTTCAATTTCTTTTGCCACTGCTGCCCCCTGACTTCCCCCAAAGTTTATGGTGATATATTTTATATAAATTAAAGCTATCTTTAGATGGTGTTGAATTTAATACTGGTACAGCGAAGGATGAATTAATGCTGTTTCACTCATGGGCTGGGGATGAAACGAAGACACAATCAGGCCTGAAAATATGACAAGACACGTTTTAGGCTGTGGTTAGGTGTCAGTGGGGAAAAAGCCCCGAGAGGGACAAAGCAAAAAGCAAATGAAAGATGTCTCATTTTTGTGTGGGTTTTGGCTGAAGCTAATAAAACGGTTATGATTTAGATCAGGGGTAGTCAACCTTGGCTCTTTTATGACTCGTGGACTTCAACTCCCAGAATTCCTGAGCCAGCTTAGCTAAGCTGGCTCAGGAATTCTGGGAATTGAAGTCCACGAGTCATAAAAGAGCCAAGGTTGACTACCCCTGATTTAGATGGATTCATTTCTAGTAGGATCATTTCATGCATTATACTTCCTATGCCTGCCTTTTACATTTTTAAAATCGTGAATAAGACACATAAGAGGATTGTGCGGTTGCATTTATTCAGGTTGATGCAGTATGCTGACTGCCAAGCATTGGGTTGTTGCAATTGTATAATGTAGGATAACCCTAGAGCAGGGGTAGGCAACCTTGGCTCTTTTATGACTCGGGTGGATTTCAACTCCCAGAATTCCTGAGCCAGCCAAGGTTGCCTACCCCTGCCCTAGCGTATCAGGGAGGAAGTGACAGATTCTGTCAGCTTCTTAATTAAGGCTTTTGAAGATAGTTTTCTAAGATGATGAAGAAGGTCACTCTTTTTCAAGGAGAGAGTTTATTTGGAATGGAATCCCTTCCTTCCTCCCTCCCTCCCTCCCTCCCTCCCACCTCAGAATTAAAACTTGACCTATCTCATCTAAAGAGTTTGCCCTTGTCCTGGAATGCAAATCTGGTAGCACATTCACTTTAGTTACAGTACAAGGATGCCTTTTTTTTGCACAACTTTGATTTTCAGGTCTTACTGTGATAAGTCTGCTCTCCTATCCTGCTGCTTTGGGGGTCCATCTAAATATCGTAAAGTATTAGAGCTTTTTCCAGTCTCCTTGGCTTTGGTACTGAGTGGAGTTGAGGGGAATGTAGTACAATACATCTGCAGTACAGGGGGAAAAAAGGTATGGCCTGGCATCAGTAATAGGACGTTATTCACAGGGAGGTTGAAAAAAGGCAAGATGGCAGCCGTAGCAATGAAAGTGAAGCTCTGTCCTTTTACCTGTGCATATCATGGTGACAGTACAAGTACAAACAGGGTGGGTCTTTGTGCTGCCACCATCACCATCTTGCTTTCTTCGGATTCTCCTGCAGACACCACTGCATGTTAGGGAAGAGCTACACATTTTTCTACTCTCTTGTCCAGAACTTTCTGCAGACATGAGTGACTCGAATCCAATTGATTTAATCTGAGCTTTTCATAACATTCAGCAGCAATGTAGTGGTTTATCTTTTCATCTGATGGCAAGTGTGAAATTGCTTCATCTGCCGGCTGCTTTGTTTTCATTTGGCATTGGTTGAATTCTTTGTTGTTTTTGGTAAGTTTTTTAAAGTGGTCCAGGAAGTTTCTAAGCAAGATATATATACTGATGTAATGACCTCCATGTAATGCTATGTAAAGTAAATGAACATGCATTGTTTTGCCAGAAGCACCAAGTATCACGTCTTCATATACAGTTCATGTTTAACTGAGCAAAACACTCATAACCAACTACTGACCAATACATAGATGTCAGTTGATAACTTTTCTTCCTTTTTAAATTATCTGGACATTTATGAAATTGTATTGCATCTCTAATAATGCTAGAGAAATATTTGTTCGTCACACCAAGGATGTAACAGATGCTCTGCAAAAGGGAATCAAAACATTGTTTACTAAAACATGATTGCCTCATCTGGAATTATCTGGAAGGCATGTCAACAATGAATTGTAGCTGCAGAATTCAAGGATATAAATCACGTCCCCTGTATAGCGTTCCCCCTGTATTTGTCTGTGATCCTTATTGTTATAGCTGTAATATTATAATCTCTGTGTTGATAATTAGCTGGCAAACTGCAGTGTGGTTTTGCATTCATCTTGGAGGAGGACATTTCATTTTCATGTCAGCTGGAAAAGAAAGGGATGAGGTGAGGAATGGACTGAGAGAACTCCCTCTTGTGGAGGACCAGGCTGCTTTTTCTGGGAACATCTAAGCCCCCAGTGATGGAGGCACTAGGTTCTACCAGCATTTTCACAAATATTTTATACTCTGTCATTTCTGAATATATTCCATATTCAGTTAAGCTTTTAAATGTTAAATGTGCAGTGAAGATAGAAGATTTCATGTCTATCTCATGACTGCATATGGATATCTCTGAGACAAGAAAAGATCAACTTAGCAGGAATTTCTGACTTTCCCTTCACCGTTTGGCTTCAGGCCCACCCATCTTTCCAACTAGTTCAAAAATAGCTTCTTGATCCATGTGGGAGGGCTGGGAATGAGATGACACAATAAGTTAATGAGCCTGCTAGTGACTTTAAGCCACTGACCTATAGGGCAGGAACCCAGTAACTTTTTTCTTTTTTCTTTCCACTGCTGGTTGCCATTTCTCTCGTCAGTCTCTCTTCAATCTCTTCTGTGCTGTATTTCCAGCAAGGAGTTTCCCCTGTAGTTTATTTTCTGATAATAGTGACCATTCCCCCAGTCCCAGCAGATATGATCCTTCCTGATTGAAGATCTTACCTGATAGCCGAGTAGAGTTTCCTTTGACTGGTTAGTGCTGATAAACATCCAGAATGAGTATTTAACAGTCTCTAATTGTTCTGCTCTGTCCTTAGAATCATAGGAACACTTTATTACAGTAATTCACCAGCTCGGAAAACTAGAAAACAAATTGTGACACAAGAAATAACAAACACAGCAAAAGGCAGTAATTATAAAAATTTGAGCTCAAATTTGGTATATTTTACAAATAGTAAAACTTAGGTTAAGATAGTAACAAGAGGACTAGTAACAAGAGGACTAAAATCCATGGATCACTTACTAAAAGTGTAATTCAAATGGATTCGTGTGGCATGGAAATTGGACTAGGTAGGGATTATTAGCTGTAGTTGAACATCTTTAAGAGAAGATACGAGAAATGCTATATAACAGAACATGAGTTACAGAATGAGAAATGGAAGTGCTATGGTCTCTCACTTACTGCAATACTGATGACAGGGTATGACCCCTTAACTAGCATAATATCATGCTAAGGAGAGAGTGAGAAGAAGAGAGAGGGAGGGAGGGAGGGAGGGAGGGAGGGAGGGAGAGGGAGAGAGAAAGAGAGAGAGAGCTTCTCAAGCAATGCAGCACTTGAATCTGTTGGAATAGCTGGTCTCAACTGCCAGAATTAAAAAGATGGTTTGTTATAATTATGATGGACTGAGGACTCTATTTAAGAATGTAATGGTTGATAAAATGGCCAATCATTGTATTCTTCAGGATCAATTTATTCTCTTGAATGTGAGCCAGAATTTGAAGTGATTTTTGTTGTGAAGGCTGGCTTTTTACTTTTTGCCATATATACCTAGGAAATTCACATTCTGTTTTCCTTTTGGATTTTTACATACAATAAAGGGTGAGGCATCTTTTACTATAACTTAACATTCATTATGTTGTATTATGATGTAAATATGATTATGGAACCCCACCACATAATGTTTTTCTTGGGGGACTGCAGCCAAGAAATTAAAAGACGCTTGCTCCTGGGGAGGAAAGCTATGGCAAATCTAGACAGCATACTAAAAAGCAGAAACATCACCCTGCCAACAAAAATATGCATAATCAAGGCCATGGTTTTCCCAGTTGCAATGTATGGCTGTGAAAGTTGGACCATAAGAAAGGCTGAGCACCAAAGAATTGAGGCCTTTGAACTATGGTGCTGGAGAAGACTCCAGCGAGTCCCCTGGACTGCAAGGCGATCAAACCGGTCAGTCCTAGAGGAGATCAACCCTGACTGCTCTTTAGAAGGCCAGATCCTGAAGTTGAAACTCAAGTACTTTGGCCACCTAATGAGAAGGAAGGACTCACTGGAGAAGAGCCTAATGCTGGGAAAGACTGAGAGCAATAGAAGAAGGGGACGACAGAGAATGAGGTGGCTGGATGGAGTCACTGAAGCAGTAGGCGTGAGCTTAAATGGACTCCAGAAGATGGTAGAGGACAGGAAGGCCTGGAGGAATGTTGTCCATGGGGTCACGATGGGTCGGACATGACTTCGCAACTAACAACCACCACCACATAATGTCTTGATTTTTAAATCTCCAGGTCTCTCAGGCACTCCTTGGTTTTTAAATATGAAATAGTCCCTTCTGAAATATGAAAGGAGGCTGTGCATATATTGATAATGACCACTAATCTCAAGTGGGATCTGCAAATTGCAGGAATAAGTTTATGCTTACTAACCTCCTGCTCTCAATAGTCAATGCTCCAATGAATTATATAGTACTTTTTGATGTGAGCAGAGTACAGTAGGGCAAAAATCTGCTCTCTGCTCAGAGTTCTTTTTTAAAAGTAAAATTCTTTAAAACAGCTAGATTCATAAGTGATCTCAGTAGATTAATCAGGTAACGCAGATCTATTCCCTCTTTTAATGCTCTTTGCATACTCATTCTGCTTGTTGATTCAGTTTTGTTTTTAATCTGCTTCTTCACTGTGTGTAATGATTTAGTAGCTAAGGTACTCCCTTCATTAGTTGCCTTGCAGCAGACCCAGGATATAAAATTTAAAGCTAATAAATGAGACAAATGAAAAATGGGTCCAACTTGCTGTTTGAAATACAAGGATGAGTCCTAGCTCCAAGGAACTAGAAAGAAGGCATTGTGCAAAAGCATTGCTCATTTTTGCCCGAGTCCCATTTCTCATTTGTGATCTTTGGTCTTTTTCAGATCCGCTGGCTCCCTCCCTCAGAGGCTACTTCTCAGGGCTGGAAGTCCCGTCAGTTCTGCTGAATCCTGTGTGAGTAGAGCACAAGCACCACTCGCCAGAGGCTCCAGCCGATCACCAGGGGAAGTGCAAGGGCTGTGGCTTCTGTTTTTTGTGGTGTGTGTAGAATGAATGTCTGAACCTGTGATTACTCTCCCCCTTGCAGCTGTTCCCTTCTCCCCTATTTCCATATATCTTCTCTCTGAAAAACTACCCTTTGACAAAGAAGGAGAACTCTCTTATGCAATTTGGAGGGGACAGATTTGTTGTTCTGTGGCATAATATTAGTAGCATTAGTAACAGTACTACTAATGTTAATATTCTGAAAGCTCAAATCAGCATACATCAGGAAACTGGGCTGGGACAGAATGATGGTTGAAAATCATGATGGTCAATTGGGGATTGGGCTCTGCATCTCTTCAGATCCAAGACCCAACACCTTAACCGTTGATTTAAATTAAATGAATTGGCTGAAATTAGAAGTTGTAATGCCTTCGAAATGACATATGTAAGAAAAAGACGTTTTTGTACATTCTTTCTCATGGTTAAAAAAAATATGGGGGGACAGGGATGTAAATAATCCCTTCCCTGTGTATATGAGACCCCTGTAATACGTGGGGTAGTGGATCGGGAAGGAGGGAGTGCTATTTTGCCTGGTTCAGGACTGGTAGATGATCTGAAATAGCAATAGCACTTAGACTTATATACCGCTTCACAGTGCTTTACAGCCCTTGCTAAGAGGTTTACAGAGTCAGCATATTGACCCCCAACAATCTGGGTCCTCATTTTACCGACCTCGGAAGGCTGAATCAACCTTGAGTCAGTGAGAATCGAACTGCTAGCAGTAGGCAGAATTAGCCTGCAATACTGCATTCTAATCACTGCACCACCGTGGCTCTTAGGTGAATGTCAGAATAGACAAGTGATATAACTACAATGTTGAGGGTTCATGTCCAAACTACAAATTCCATCTACCCTCTAGATAAAACGAACCCAAGCCAGCCTCTCTGACTTTTGCAGCTTTTTGTTTCTGAACCAAAGAGAATTGATTCACCATTTATCTTTGTCTATTTTTAAATTAGTTTTATCCAAATAAAACAAATCTGTTTTTTTTTTAAAGCAACAACAACAAAAGTTAAACTGGCTGCACTTCAGGGTTGGAAAGCTGTAAATCAAGGGTACATACAGGGTTATGGAAGGACAGAGGTCATGGGGTGAAAAGAAAAAGAAAAATAATGCAAGCTAAATTTAGTTCTGTAAACAAAATGGGACAACTTAAGAATGCAAAGCACTGTGGCTGCCCTGATGGGCCGAAAGGAGGAGGAAAATTTTCTCCTGAGGAACTGCTGGTCTGAGTCAGGCAGTGGTTGAAACTCAAAGTCCCCCCCCCCTCCTTTGGAGCTGTATTTTTCAGACCTCCTACATAGTATATTTCTGTATACTATGTCTCCTTCTCACCCCTGAAGCCCTGTGGATTTGGGAACTTATGCGTATTCTCAATTTCAGCCTGGGGAGCTGTAACTATTAGGCTTCATTATCTCATGATGTAGTCTGGTAGCACTCCAAAATGGATCTGTTGCTTTTCTTGCATCTTTTGGTGGCAGAAGACATGTGACAAGCTCTTTATTCAGGAAAAGGTATACGTAGATGTGCCACGAGTGATGTCAGATACACAGTTGTGACAGTTGCAGAGAATGGTTTTGGACTTGAAAGAGGGAGGTGTCAGCATGCTCAGAGGAACACACCAGATTTACAGGGACGGCAACATAACTAGGTTGAAAGAAAAACCCTAATGAGCAAAACAGCTCTTAACAGCAGTAAAATAGGACTAAACATCATCAGTAGGATAGGATGCTGATCGTCTGCAGGAAAAACAAAATGGCTGGGTGTGAGAATGTAATGCAGTGTATTCTGAAAAAAAGTCTTGGCAACTTGGTGGAACCTTAAAAGAAGAACAGTGTTGTGATGGGGATCACATACTGTGCTGTCAAAATATGGTTGGTTGATTGTGGCTTAGTGTGTTATATAAATCCAACTACTGTGGTTTATGACTTAATATACTTCTAAACTCTAATTACTGAGCCATGACTTAGCATGACATATCAACCCAGTCTTTGTTGCAGATCCCACTTAGTATTACCCATTAAGAACACTTTCAGATTCTATGGGACAATCTCAAAACCACAATATCAGAGCATTTCTGATGCAGTTTCTGCTTAGTCAGAAGCCAAAAAAAAAAAAAAAACCCTGGTTGGGCAAACTTCAGCAATGGTAATGGCTCATTAGAGCCAACCAGGAAAAATATAGCAGTAGAATGCTAAAAAGAATTTGTTGTTGCTGATGCTAAAGTGGGCTTTCATTTCCTGTTCCTTTACATCTGAGAATATGGCTGGTATCGGATTATGTGACAAAGTAACTGTGTTGGCTGGGGATCTGGGAGTTGAAGGCCAACATACCTGATGGTCATGCAGTTGGAGATGTTTTGAAGAAGCTCTGTGATGTTCAGTGTCAGTCTGTTGAACATTATAGAGTTCAGCTGAGTTCTGAAAGACTATCTCTTCATGCTGTGCATATGAGCACGCAACAGGAGACCAGTCTTTGTTGGAAATTCACTACTCAACCTTTGTTTTAGTTTGCCAAGGCTTTTTTAAAAATTATTTTGGTCATGTATGAAATTGTTAAGCACCTCAGAACAAGTTGATCTTCGTATGTCTAAATTTTAATCATGATTAGTCCAGTATTGTATTACATTGGGAGAAGAGATGCTGTTGACCTATTTTGTGCTTCATTTTAAATCCAGCAATTTCTATCCCAAAGTGAGTTTTGAAATTGCTAAGATTCGCAAGAGAGTAAGTCAAAGTGAGTACACAAAGGATTGATGAAGATAACTTTCTAATTCCAGTAAACTTTTCTCCCTCCACCAATCTATTCAGCTTTAGTCTTGTCACATTTGAAAATCGCATCACAGCTTCATTAGACAGAATATAATGATTTACACTGGCATTCTCTTTGCAAACTCAATGTCTTTTTCCTAATATAGCAACTTTCTTTTCCCAAGCCTAAATAATTTAATCATCGGTGACTAAATGAGAATTGGCCGGTGTTTTTAAGCACAGATACAGCGAGTGCAGCAGTAAGTTATTTTCATACTAGCATATTTGTGTATGAGAGGGAGAGATGTAAAAATAAGATTGGAGGACTTGCAGATTTTTCTCTCCAAAACATTATGCAAGCATAACCATATTTGGGAACAATTCTCTAAGTTATTGCAACAGCAAAACCACGAAACATCTGTATGTAAAGTTCATCTTCCATAACGCATATGAATCTTGAGGCATCAAAAAAGTAGTAACTAGACTCTTTTTAAAAAAATCAAGACCATAGAATGGTTATTTCATACACTAAAAGTACACCTGCTGGCAAAGCAGCCTGGCAATTGGAAAATGGCTAGATGGGTTGATCCTACTTCGGGCCAATATTTTACAACAGCCTGTTCCTATTTGGACAATGAGCCAATACTTCAAGTTCACCGTTCTTGCTGGCTTAGATCATTTTGAGGAAGAGATCCTTGGACTTCACCCATCCAACTTTTGCCAATAGGAAAGCTGCCTTTTACTGATTTCAGTACCTATCTTTGGGCAAGTAATTATTCCTTATCCTAGCCTATCTCTCTAGGCTGGTTATGAGGATAACAGAGATTTTTTTTTTTTGATCCTATTCCACATTCAGACAAAAAGATGGGTGGCCTACATTGTTGACTAATCATTATAAAATCAAGCTAAATGTCAGCATTTCCATTGATTACAGTTTTCAATTTACAAATAGATATCATGTAATTATAATTGCTTAGTAGATTCTCCAAATTGTTTCAGTCATTGGAAATCACATCATCCATAAATAGGAATGAATTGTTTTAGATAAGTTAACTCACATTTTTGTGATTCAGTGTGATATTTAGCAAGTTATCATTTCCTAGTCCTGAGGGGGGGATAGATGTACTGTATCCTCAACATCTTCCTTTATTGCTCTAATAGCCAAGTAAAATGGCCTATCTCCTATGGGTTGAAGAGGTTTCTGCAGTTCAAATGTTGGGAAATAACAGGATTATAGCTTTCATGTCTTTGGAAAAGCAGTTAAGATGCTACTTGTCTGCAGAGCCTTCAGAGATTAATGGTGGAGTATAAAAAACTCTTTGGGAAACCATATGATAAAATACTGAGTTATGAATGCTCAGTTATTGGAGATGTATTGAGGTATTTGCTGTTTATATTTTGCTATATTCATCTGGTATCATGTTGGATTCTATAAACTGCTTGGAAATATGTAATTGAAGCAGTATAGAAAACCTAGTAACAAGTAAAATATAAATAATATAAATAAACCAGCAAAAAGGTGACTGAAGTGCCTAATCATGAATTGTATCTGTGCCTTGGAATCAATGTTGACTTGGCAAGGTTTTTCAAAAGTGACTTGCCCTTGTCCATTTCCTAGGACTGAGAGAGAGGAACTGCCCCTGTTGGCTTTGTGCCTGAGACACTAGAACTTGGATCTTCCAGTTTCTAGCCTGATGCCTTAATCACTACAGTGAATTGGCTTTATCATGTATTGGTAACACTAAAATAAAATATATAGTCAGGAAAAGAAAGCCAAAAACAGTATTTCTGCACATTAGATAAGAACATGAACCCAATATATAAAGTTTGATGAATAACTAAGTTCTATCATAGCTATTTGTGTCATAATTGTGTATTATATTTCAGTTGGCTACAGATTAATAAATAACATTGTGTGAGTTCATGGGTATATAAATCAGTCTACTTCTTGGGCATATAAATCAGTCTACTTCTATTTTTATCTATTATCCAAACCCTGTATGTAAGCAGGGAAAATTGTTTTCACGATGCTATATAAAAGTTACAATGATCGGGCTCTTCCCTAAGCTGAAACGTATTTGACTTTTAAGAGATTGTGTAAGACAGATTTTTATTAAGTGGCGTGAGGCAATTTGTTCTCGTTTGGCTTCCATTTTCAGAAATAAGATTGGGAGATAATCATGAGGAGAGAGGAGAAATGTGTTGCATATATTAATTGGTGATACTTTATATATTCGGCATATAATAAATGGAGTTTCTGATGACACATTTATCTCTGCCTTAGGTATCAGGTGTGTGATGGCGGCTACACTCTGTCTTGTGGGTATTAATGCATTCTTCCAAAGTCGCTACTGGTGTTTTACCTTCATCTTCCAAATTGCAGTGTGGTCGGTAAGTCAACATCTACTGCAGTCATAAAAGTACACTTTATTTTGAGTGAACCAAAAATCTTTTAATACCTCTTCAGCATTGGAAACAGAGACCAAGCTTCTACATAAATATAGTATGTAGGTTTAGATCATTTTCTTTTCATAAATATGTGGACAAGTATTTTTTACTCAATTGTTTAATTAGGTTCTCTTTATCTAGTTTTAGGGCTCGTGTTTTAGATGATATTTATGCAGAAATATTGAAAGTTCAAAAGGGTTCACAAAACTTTCAAGCACCATTGTATTCTACCAGCAATAGTAAGGGTCAATACGGGTTTTGGGGGTTTTTTGCTATTGTGCCTTACACGTTAAAGCTTTACACATTTTAGTCCTAGACTGTGGCTTAATTTACTGCATTTTTACAGCAAGTACTCCAGCAGTTTAACATGGAAGTATAGACCACCTCCTTACCTCCATCCAATATTAGCCTTCATTATCTCTTTCCCATTTTAGCATCCACTATATTTTGTCATTCTCTGGATTTTCCACTAACAATGGCCTCCAGGTTTGGGAAGGCTGTTCTTGGCTTTCTGGCCATTTGGAACTTTTGATTGTATTGTTTCCTCATAAGCATGTCTTTTCTTTTTACAGGCTTAAAAAAAACAAAACCCTCACACGAGTGTGGATTCCTTCAAGACTTTGCCACAGCCTCTATCACACATCTTCTTAAAAATAAAATAGAAAGTATTGAATAATAATGGTAATGATAAAAATGCCAAATCCAGTCTAAACATCTGGTTGACTATGCGATGAACCATAATAATAATAATAATATGTTCTTCTACATTGTATAAAAGCTTAAGAGTTTCAATTCTATAAGCATGAATGAATTTCTGGTTTGAAAAAATTATTTTCAAGCAGAGCAGCAAAGAGAATAAGTATTTTTTATACCAAGCATTTTAAGTAAGAAGACTTTACCTTGGGCGGAAGAACTGATTACTGTATATGTTTGACTTTTAAATATGTGTAATCTCCTTTTCCTACCCTTTTAAGATGCATGTTCAAGGCATGTTTTTAAATCTGGTTCAGATTTTTTAAAAAGTGTATTGTTTGAAATGCACAGACATTTTGGTTATCAGGTTTTGGAGCCTGAGACGGTGTGTTTTAACTATATGAAGTGTATTCTTGTAGTACTTATTTTCATGTTTTGCCTAATTGTGCCAAATTATATTGAGCAAGACAATCAGCAATATAATAGCTTTTTCATGATTGTAACAGTTGGTGCGCTGTACATTAGCGGTGCCCGATCGCTAGTTCCTGCTGTATTTTCCCCCCTCTATATTTGGATATGCAATTGCGTGGGAATAAGTAGTACACAGTAGAAAGTAGAAAGGCAATTTCTATTATGAATGAAAATGTGCAGTCATAATTATGAACATTTCTGCAACTGCAAAGTAGTATACCACTTCTCTTCAGATAAATATATCTCATGCAACTGTGTGTATTATTTGGAAAAAGGAAAAAGAAAAAAAAAACCCTGGTATTTGTGAGAACCCATCCTGGATGGCAAAGCTGCCCAGGAAGTTAAGTATTCTAAATCAAGTTTCTAACATCCATACCGTCTACTTTTATAAGAACTTATACACTGTGTGTGTATGTGTGTGTATCTTTGGAAGGTAGGTTAGTTTTGTGTTTTTTTTGTTCTAGATGTAAAGCAAATTGTTGTTAATCGTATTCTTGGGGAAGGTAAGAGGTGATTGGAGCACTGATCCAGAAAACTGAACTTCAGTTGTTGATCCCAGCACCTCATGCCTATAAAAAATGCCAAAGTTGTTTTTTTTTTGCTGAATCTGGTTCTAATGAAATGGCCACCTTTGGGGTATTTGGCTTGCCAGCTATTCTTGTTTTTCCCCAGGTAATCTTAGTAGCTGGCGTATGTAGTCAGCCCCAAATCTATGCACTGGTTCCAGATAGTGGTTTTTGAGGTGGCAGCAGTAGCAGCCCCATGTAAAGAATCGCCTTCATGGCCTGAACTTTCTGCTGCCCACTTTTAAATAGCTTTTCAGCTTCACCTACTGTAAATCTGGGCGCTCGGAAAAAAAGAGAAGAAAAGATAAAGCTGCCTCTCTAGGAACAGAGCAATACTGGGAATGATTTCAGGCACAACCTGCCAAGGAAAAATTACTTCAAACTTTCCACTTTCTTGAAGTTTATCTTTAGGAGCCAGATAATGGCTACAGACATATGACATTACCCAGTCTGGGTGGACTTTAGTGCTGTAATGGGACTCTAGAACCGCTTTTTTTTTTTAAAAAAGGGTTGCTTTCTTTCTATTGAAGAGGAAAAAAACTCTCCCATAGATCAGCTTTAGCTCAGGTGTGACTCACAAATTCAGCTGTAGCCAAAGGCTGCACCTCTTAGAAGCTAATGACCTGAATTATTAAAGTTTGTCTAATCTGCTTCCTGTTTCCACTTTACGTGGATATGTGGTCTGTTGAATTGAATAGGGCTTGCTTTTGGGTGCTTAAGATTGCACCTGCAGTTCTTTGGGCAGCTAGGAACGCAGTTACCTAGGGCAGAAGAGTTTGTGTAAAATTATTCTTCCCTCCATTGCTGAAGGCTGCCAATGCCAGAAATCCCTCACTGTACTCCCTTCCAGCTGCTAGCCCAGAGATTTTACAATAGTGATTCTGCTGGCTTGCTCAGTAGAGAAGCCCATAGGGTTAAGTAGGATCACATTTTCATGAAGCAGCTTCTCTGCCAGGATTATTATCGCTTATCCTGAAATAAGATAAATTATTTTGTAAGAAATATAAATTATACATCAAAATGTAATTGCAAGAGGGTTGCTTGGCATGTCCTCCTCCTGGATGTGATGCAGCTGCTACTCCTGAGAGTTGTACTCTGAACACATCAGAAGAGTCCCAGGTTGGAACTGAAAAATGCCCATTATTAAGCAAACCATATGGATAAATTATACAAATTTAAAATGTAACTGTAGGTGGTTAAACAACCCTAAAAAGATTTGTGCTGGATTGTTTCACAAAACACTTGATTTTTCTCTACGGCCTTTTACTGGCAGTGACTGAAATTATATAATGCTTCCAATTTGTCTATGATTTTTTTAAAAGAAAAAAAATTGTTCAAAGATACTTTTCTATTATAATTTTCTAAAAATAAAAGTAATGAATAAAATAAAAAATGTGGTCTATGCTATCATGTCTCTTTATTTACTTGTACCTATTTGAGGAAATTAGAATCTGTGACAATTAGTGTTAATACTTAGTTTTAATACTTCACCCCAACCCAGTTTTCATTTATACTTCCTTCTTCGATAGTAAATTGGAAAAATAGCAGCTACAAGTCAGTATTGGCTCAGGTACCTCCTAAAGATTACCACAGATTCTGAGACTCATGACGGGTGTAGTCTCCACAAATCACACAGCTCAGCCTTTCAGAACCTGTCCTTAACCTTCTCCCAAATCCTGCAATTGACTCCTACAGAATAAAATCACAGAAAACAAGAAAACCATCAGGGAAAAAGAAGAAGAAAAAAACCCAACCATCTCTGTTAGGAGATTGAGAGAAGTTTAAATAGGAGAGGCTAAGAAGAACCACTCCAGAGTCTCAACTTCAATGTAAAAGAGGCCTTTCCCTTATACTAAATACCCCCATCCTGTTGACCATGACAGAAAATGTGGTAGAAGCCCGGCCCCAAATCAATTGGAGAGGATTTGAAGAAACTTCTTGAATGAGAAGCTAAATGTCTTCAAGAAAAACAAAAAAGTCCAGTTGCCTTTTGAAAAAACACCTTTGGGACAACCATGACTTGGATGACTGAGAATCTCCATAGACATACAAATAGAGAGAATCCAAACTATTAGTTCCCAAGCTAACCACTTGTAATTAGTCACTGATCTCCTGCACTCAACAAGGTAGGAGCAAGAGCCACAACATGCAGCTCTTATATAAAATGTTAAAGACAGCATGGGCATATACACTAAAGACGACCCACAATACAGGAATAATTGCTTTACAACTGATAACAAATGAGAATAACTACACATGGGTATCCTTCATGGATTGAAATAATTACAGACAAAAGAAGTCAATAGGGAAGCCAGTTTCACTTAACAAATACTTAACACCTGCCTGATTCACTTAACAACACTTAACTATGGCAAGAAAGGTCGTAACATGGGGCAAAACCACTTAACAACTATCTCACTTAGCAACAGAAATTTTGAGTTCAGTTGTGGTTATACGTGGAGGACTACTTGTATATGTATAGTATATCAGTAAGCATAAATACAATTGATTCATCCTGAGTTCTTATTCAAATCTCCATGCAGATTATTTGCTTCTTTCTTGTTTGCAAACACTCGTGTAACATTTGTTTTTTTATAAGGCTCACAGACCATTTTCAGTTTGGTACACTTTATAGAAGTTTGGTCAGGTGAAGAAACTGAGATTCAATTGCTGGAATAACTCTTATATACGTCCCCCATATTTAAAGGAAAATGATTGAAGTAGTAATAATTAACAAAAGGCGTTTTCGATTTCTGAATTCTGAAAACAAGATATAATCCTCTTCTACCTGGCTCTGTAATCGGAAAAGGAATTCTAAAGTACCTGATGGTGAAAATACATTTACTTTAACCAAGCCAAGGATATGCCTCTGCTAGTCTCTGAGCAGTAGGATAGTAAAAGATTCATGCCAACACATTTGCAACTACCTGACTCTGAGTCTCAAGATAACAATGTCACCACTATGACTTTGTGATTATTGCTATCTTCAAATCTTTTTCCATCATCAGTTCTTGGCACCCTCTCGTGTCCTACCACCAAGTTCCTTGTGCTACAGAAAGTGACAGGAAGAACCAAAATGGACATTCTTTAGCTATTTTCTCCAAATTCACTTGCTTTTCTCTATTCTCTAGACAGAAGCTTGGAAGGACTGTGTTCAATTATATATCAAATGCATTACAAACAGCTTCATTATCAGTGCTCTCTAGCAAACATACAAAATCCTGCTACAGTGGTTTTTCCTTTTCATGTCTCACTTCATAAAATTACAAATATTGGCAGAAGAAATTAAATTACTCTTACTAATTTGCTCAGTAACATCCAACAGATCTATATTTTTATCACCAAATTAATCTAATTAAAAAATTATGCTCTCAGTTTGTAAAGCCAGGCTTTTCAGTGAGGCTATCTAGGCTCAAGCATCATCATTGTTTCCTTGCTCAGTTTAATCTTTAAAGCCAAAAGAAAATGCATACTTGAGAGCATAACATAAATTTCCTCTCCACACTTGATAAGTTCATGGCCAGACCTCGGCTTACTGCCTGATTAATAACATCATTATCAATTACTCAAACTATTTCTAGAGCAGCAATTTTTTGTTTTATTATCTTTCATTTCTCTAGAACGGTGTAAATACACAATTTATTCAGATTAAATCAATTACCCATATTAAATCAACTATACATTCCAATCACTGGGGAAAAAATATATTCTTACCTTCGCTTCCCCCAACTCATGCCCTTTTCTTTCCTTCATCACAGCCAACAGTTATATAATGGAAGGTCACTCTATCACTATATATAAAGAAGCAGGCTTGTCTTATTTTTTTTTTAATTCTAAAGTAGTTCAAAACAATGCAAATACACTTGTGTGCAAAATTTAGGCACCCTTGGTCAAATTGTACATTTCAATAAATCCTTAAGTGAACAGAAAATGGCAAAATTTCTACATGATACAAAACTACATACAACAGTGTTCTACAAATTTCAATCCATACTTAACAATTTACGTGCAGTTATTTACAGATTCAAGGTAAGAAGATACAGAGGGGCAGAGGTTTGGATACTCTTTCAGGCAGTATTTTGTAATATCTCCTTTGGCAGACATTTTCGGTAGCCAGCTGAGTCTTTGCTTTTGGGATTTATTCTCACTCTTCATTCTCACAGAACTCTTCCAACTCAGAAATATTCTGAGACTTCTTGGCATGCATTGTACTTTGGGATCTCCTCACAGATCTTCAATAATATCTAGGACCTGGGAAGACCATTCCAAATCCTATGTTTTCTTTTAACAGTTTCATGATTTATTTGGAGGTATATTTCAGTTCAAGGATTCCTGACATAAATGGAATGTTAACACAAATTGCACAATTTAGAAGATATTGCATGGGCACCATGAAACCACCAGAAACAACCAACTGAAATAGTCTTGAAAATGCAAATGGAATCTTCAGGATAATGCATGAAATGTCACTTTGTGGGGAAAAAAAATAAGTATAAAAAAAGAGTTTACATTTCTAAATAAAGGTTTCGTCTTAAACTATTACCTAAAATACTATCTGTCTATATCTAAATGGCATGCCGCCTTTTTTCAGTCAAAAAACAAGGAAAACATGTGAAAACAATAAACTTTTTTGAATGATTTTATTATAAACATGTTTTCTTGACATCAAAAATCTGAGATTTATATAGGTTAACCCAGCTGAATAAAACTCTCATAGAATGCCAAAGAATTCTTCAAAGAAATTTTAACTGATGAACATGAACCTTAGCATTTCATGCTAAATATAATTCAATATCAGAAGTCTACTGATAATAATGGCTCTGATCCAAGTTTATATTAACCAGTAAAGTAAATGTTACGACGAATAGTTTATTCTTGATCCCAAAAGTTGTTACTTTTCATCCGCTACAGAAGTGGAAGAGGAAAGAACCACATCGGCTATACAAAGGACATCTGTCCCAAGCATCCACATCAACGTAACAGTTCAGTTCAGAAGACCAATTTATTTGGCAGGAGCTACATCGGAATAATCCTTCAATACACCAGCCAAATGATCATTGTGAGTTTTGAACCTCCGTTTCTTCTGAGAAGCTGGCTTCCTCCTCTTCTGGATAGGAATCTAAAAGAAGAAATAAGTCACATTCACGAGAGCCGTGATCCCCTAAGTATTTTCACAGGTAGGGATCCCATAGTACAGCCTTCTCAATTGTAGCCCCCACATGTGGAATATCTTGCTCTCCACTACTTCTGTGATGAGCTGCCACAGAGAGGTGAAAACTGGCTCAGGGAAAGAACACTGGAAAGGAATCTTAAGTTTGGAGTCTGCCTCTTTGGAATGTTTCAATTACGGCTAATACTTTTTTTGTGAGTTCTGTTCAAATCAAATCACAATTTGATTACGGCCAGACACCAGCAAGAAAAAATAAACACAGCTTAAATTTCAAGAGGCATGATCTGTTGCATTCTTTAAGCTAGATAATGAAACTGGTACATTGTTAAGTCATCTGAAAATTCCTGTTGGTTATTAGAAAGGCTGCATAATAACCATCTGACCTTCCGGGTATTATTACTAAAAAAGGAGAGATTAAATTTTGACCTAAAGCCAAATAAAATCTAAATGTAAAAGCATGTGTAAAGTTTTGGTTCCTGCTGAATCACAGCTGCTCTACTTAGAGTAGACAGCACAGAAATATCAGAAATAAACAATGAAACTTATTTGAGGCTTTAGAGGTTTGTACATAACCCATTTTTAAATAGGTAGAACATAAATTCTACAGGTAAGCCATCCACTAATACACAGATGTTTGATCCAGAAATAATTGGAAGTTACCCAACATCCATTTTGCAGATCCAAACTGTTTGTGAAGCAGTGCGGCGAAGTGTTTTGCTATTACTCATGAGGGCATGAGTTAAAAAATGCTCTAGGGAGGTCCTGAGCAATCCCACCCCATCCCAAGACTGAAATTTTCCATAAGGGGATTAAGGGACAAAATGAGTATCTTAAATTAGAAAGTTTAAGACATCTACTTTCTTTCCGTCCAATCCCCAAAAGAGTCGAAAGAGTTTGATATAAAAATGAAGCAAATAAGTAAGCCTTCAGAACTGCAATGCTTTTGTTAAACAAATCCAATTCTACACAAAGCTACATATACAAACCTCCCATTGGAGCTCAGCTTTCTAAGATGTATGCAAGCCCTACGGTTGTAAGGAGCAAAGTGTTTAAACTGAGAGCACACATCATAGTCATGGATTCTTGCAAAAAACTGATGGGTTGTACTGAGCAAAGGCACAAAAAACAGAGGAAGAGTGAACAGCATTCCCCTGACCACTCTTTCTAATTCATAATTTACAACTCTTGTATTGCCAAGCACTCAGCTCGCTTTCTAAGCATATTTTTTTCGAAAGGGAGAAGCTAATTCTTTGTCTTTATTGTGAAATAGGGATGAATTAGAGCTATATAGGACTTACAAGTGCATCCCATTCCAATCTCAAAAGGTTAGTATATTTTCATTCTTGAAGACTAAAGGCCAGACTAGATATTATCTGAACACTATAGGTATTATCTGAACATCCTGCAAATGTACCCGTTTTTCTCATATTAGAATTATTTAAAAAAATGGCTTTATGATCCAAGTTTGTTCTTGTGCCTCTTGCGCAGCCAAGCTGCCTGTGGTTTCAAATATACACAGAGGCTAGATTATACAGCTTATTAAGCACTTGCTAAAGAAATCATATGGTAGTATTTGAAGTGATTTCTAATTCTGCTCCTTATGAATTTTAGGGACTTTTCTTCACGCTGGACAGTGGGAAAAAGGCAGATCTCTGTGCAAAACCATATTTCAGGACATTTTTGAATTTCTGTGCATGTTAACATTCCCTCCTCTCTTGAGGGCAGTACACATATGGGTCAATGTTGTTTGATCTTAGGAATCTATCCAGCCCAAAACAAGCAGCAGTAGGCAGGAAAGAACCAAGTCATTTCTCTGCAGCGGCAGTGGATTGCTATCTAAAGGACTGAAATGGATACAAGTGAAGCCTCTAAACCAGGGGTAGGCAACCTTGGCTCTTTTATGACTCATGGACTTCAACTCCCAGAATTCCTGAGCCAGCCGTGCTGGCTCAGGAATTCTGGGAGTTGAAGTCCATGAGTCATAAAAGAGCCAAGGTTGCCTACCCCTGCTCTAAACTAAAACAAGACACAAATGAGAGAACTGCCTCATTTAATGTTAGGAAAATGGATTCTATCCATTGCCTTGTAATTTCATTGTCTTAAGCAATCCATTCATTTTTCCCTCTTGTATGCTTAAAATATCTCCATTTCATATAAATTAATTATATTAATTCTGATGAAAGAAAAGGCTTATAGAAAGTTGCTTACTATTTTCTTTGGGCCTACATCTTGCATGGAAGAAATGCCCTGGCGTTTCAGATATTCTTCTATCTTCTCTTCATCCATAGAATCCACAGGAACACTTCTCCAAAGTTTTTGAAATTCTAAAATCCCAAAACAAATACTAATTTAGTTTCCTTACTCCTTTCATAATTATACTGCTCAACTAATGTCCCATATTGACGGCAATGCTATATAAAATAGTAACAAGCATAACCTTTATTATGAATTGTGCAGAATAAGAAAAAGAGGCTAAGGTATTATAAACACGGAGATATTAGTATTCAAGAATTCTGAGATAGAAGAACTAAAATTATATAATTACAAAGTGATTTAATTTTTAAATATATGCAGTCCCAGATTACTATTAAGTATTTGTGCCATAGTGAATAAAAAAGGGCAAAGTAATCACGTTCAATTCCCACTCTCAAGAGTTCCATCTTGAGGACTGCCTCTGCTCCCACACTGGGGTCTGTATGTTTGTGGAGGCCTTGTCAAAGTGGTCATGTTTATTACCCAATGAAGAAGGGTTTGATTCAGTGAATTTACTTTAAAGCTAAAGAGAATTGGAGCCTAAATGCAGTCCTGATTCACCCTCATCTGAATGGATTTAGGACTAGCAAATACAAAAGGCCATTGAAAGTTACAGAAAACCTGCAAAATGTTGTTATTGCTCAATTTCATATTTAAAACAAAATGTAACTGCCTGATTGAGAAGGTAGATATTTTTCCCCATAACCTATTTCTGAGAATTAAGTCAAATGTAGAAAAAAAAACCAAAATTTTCCCTGGAGACAGGAAATGCCCTTCATCGCTAGGTATTGCTCACAATGTTCGGCAGGCTGACTGGGCACATTTGCTGGACTTTGGGGGTTGTTATTTTCAAAGATGGGAACTATAACAGATTTACACCAATTAGTTGATATTTGAAATGTGCAATGCATAGATGTGAATAAGTTTAGCCAAAACTAGAGCCCCATCAATCAATAGATTCATTTTTCTCGCCATGCACATGTATACATAATCCGAACTAGTCTGTGTTGTTTCTCTGGGTCATATAATATATGTGAGTATATGCATAATTCTGTATTTATTTATTTATTTATTTATTTTTGTCATATTTATGTAATGTATATTGGAGGTGCTGACCCTTTGAGAGCTGTATGCAACAAAATTTCATTTTAATGTAGGCCGATTAGTGTACATTCAAAATGACAATAAAGTTGTTATTCTATTCTATTCTATTCTATTCTATTCTATTCTATTCTATTCTATTCTATTCTATTATTCTACTCTACTCTACTCTACTCTACTCTACTGTACTCTGATGCTGAAATTTCAGAGCAGCTTTACTTTTTTTTTTTTTTTTTTTGGCTAAAAGAGAAGATTGGTGATCTCAAATAGCCACTAAAGTCCAGCCTTGTATGTTTTTTAGATAGCTGTCCAAAGCTGACCTGCAGCTGGTGTAGTCTTATGGGAGATATGCCTTCACACTGGAAGAGGATTTTTTTTTTTTTGGTCTTTTGTTATTTTCTCTTAAGGACCATGCAGTAGTCCTTGGATTATGATGGCAATTGGGACTGGAATTTTCATCAGTAAGCAATGTGGATGTAAAATGCAGCACCAAGTGACCACATCCCTTAGCAATGGCAATCCTGGCAGTCCTGGTTACTGCTGTTAAGGGAGGACCACACGTGATTGTGAATTGGGAAGAGGCAGGAGTCCGACATAAGCAGGATGGTGATGCTATGGACCGGTGCCAAACCTGGCATTACAGAGCATAGGCAGGCAGGTACTATGGGTAGGCTCTGTGGGGCGAGGGTGGATGCTACAGGCAAGCACAATGGAGTATGGGCAGATGATGGACACATAGCAAAAAAGCAGGAGCGGGAATGAGATGAAACTTTCTCCTAGCTTCCCCATTGACTTTTACTTGTGGGAAGCTGAGAGGGAAAACAGAAGATGGCGATTACATGACAGTTGAAATGCTGCAATGGTTAGTGTCAATTGCTGAGTGCCTAAATTGTGATCACATTTCGTGCCATTATAACTTTGAACTGTCACTGAACAAGTGGTTGCAATTCATCCAAGGATAATCTGAACCATGAGAGTGGCTATAGCCTGTGGAGTGGTAAAGTGCATTCTTGCTCGAATGAGAACTTAGTTTATTGGGTGTCTATTTTGTGTTTTTTTTAACCCAACCCTAATGGATCAAAATTCATTGCCTAATGAATTCATTGACACTTGGGCAAATGGAGTCTCTCAGCCTAATCACACTATTCAAGTCGATGAAGGATATACCGGTAGTTCTCAACTTAGGACCACAATTAAGTCCACAATCTGGATCGTGTGGCAACCATGTGACTGCCTTGCTCAATAACTGCAATCCAGGCTCTCCCCATTGCAGTTGAGACGTGTACCTGTTCTTACAATACTTCTAGAGGTGAAAGGCCCATATACCGGTGGGTCTAGCCAGCGGAGGCCTCCCACCCTGCAATGGGGAAAATGTGAGGCACTCCCATGGTAGTAAGGTCAGGCGCACTGCCAAGCGCCCACATTTTTGTCACATGACTGCAGAGCGCTGCAATATTGAGAACTTTGAGAGTGTGTCACTTCATTTAGCACCATCATAATTTGAAAAGGTCACTGAACAAATGGCTGTAAGTCAAGGACTACCTGTAAAAGCATCTGCTGTTTCTCAGTTGATATACATTCTCTGATTAATATACTGGTTTTGATTGATTTATTTATTTATTTTGGTGGATTGTATTTTCATCAAATCATTCTTTTATAAGGCCCTAATAATAATAACAACTTTACATGAGTTTGGGAATTTATTTCACAATACTTTGGTGTTTTTTTTTTACTTCTTACTATAAATGCATCCTTTGATATGTTTGTGAATATTAGTTCAGTGTATTTGAATGATTAATATTAAACATCCATTGCACTTGACAGTTTTAATATGCTAGGCAACTACTGCCATTAATATCTCATCCCACTGTTTCTCCTTAACATCAAAAGAAAATATAACATCATTATCTTTGATGCTTCCTGATCCCCAATGGCAACATTATGCAGCAAAGCCAGAGAACCCTGAATAAAATGACCTCACCAAACTGGAAAAAAGTGGGCCGTCGGCAGCCACATGTTCTTTATATCATTTGTTTTGGATTCAAAGTATAAAAGATTCATTGTACTATATTCAAGTTTTTAAAATTGCATTATAATACAAAGTGACTTTTAAATAACTCCCAAATTCCTCAAGCCAAACACTTTGCCTCTTGATCACAGAAAATAAAAAGGACACGAGCAGCAAAACTCCGATAAACTGCAGGCAACCTGCCTCCATATATCTTTTCAAGTGCTTTCCTGGAATGCCTTTATCAAGGCTGCAGCTGGTACAATTTCATTTCCCTTCATTCCATACTGATTAAGTCAGACAGACTCAATGGGCCTTGTTCACAAGCCATAAATAAAATGTAAAGTATACATTCAGGAAGTCGCTTTCAAGTATTTCTACCTATGCAAAGATTTGTTTTGGTATACTGGATAAATAATTTGGGCAGCCTGGTGCTAACCAAAGCAATAATCCATAACATTCTTTCTTTTATATTGGTTTTACAGAGCTCTGCTCAATACACTTGTGCCAGCTCTTGAATATTTCTTCTCAAGTCATGAAAATTCTACTAGTTCAGACTTCAAAACTACTTAGGACCAAAAGCAATCTATTGGAATTAATATTACACTGCCTCTTGA